GGGGGTGTTGTTCCTGCTGCCTGCAAGGCTCACCTCCTCTGTGCTGGGAGCCACAGCACACCTACCCAGAAGCCTCCTTTACACTAGGAGCCATGATGTGCCAACCTGGAAGTCTCTTCGCTGGGAGCTGTGGCACGCTGACCCGGAGGCCTCCTCTGTGCTGGGAGCTGGGACACACCTACCCAGAAGCCTCTTCCTGCCTGGGAGCTGTGGCACACTGACCTGGAAATCTCCTCTGGGCTGGGAGCCAAGGCATGCCGACCTGGAGGCCTCCTCTGCCCTCACTGAGTCCTCCTCCAGTGGAAGAGGCAGAGTATCTCTTCAGCATCTTTTATGGAAGCACTAATCCCATCTATAAGGGATCCACTCTCTTGAATGAATCACCTCCCCAAAGGTGATATTATGACTGGGTAAATAGGGTTTAACCATATGAATTTTGGAAAAACACACATATTCAGACCATAGCATTTATACCTTTCTCATGAGAAGAGAATTTGAAGGGGGTGAACATAAATGTAAGAATCAGAGCCCAGCTTGGAATGTCTTACTGAAACATTGGATTGAAACACTTAGACTTTGAGAGATGTACTGCTGGATGATTCTGGGTATCCTGAAGTGCCTGGGGGTAGAGCAAAGGGTTAGGCACTAGCAGGGTATGGATTCTAGATCCTGACCAATTCTTGTGGGAAAAGTTTAGTCATCACCACTGAGGGTCTTGGAAGAATGTGGCATTTGTGGAGTGGGAGGCTATAGATTGATTAATAATCTGAGAAATGTGAGCAGTCAATATTTCTTATGATTCCTTTTGTATTTTTAGGACACTCATTCCCTTTATTTTGGTCAGAGCTCTTGGAAGGCATTGTGGTGAGTGTTGGGATAGGAAGTAGATAGGGCAGTCAGATATTTTTCCTACTGGGGCTTAGAAATGTGGTCAGACAAGATACACAAAAAGTACAAGTGCTAAAAGCTGTGCACAGTGATTTCAGTCCATGATAGTAGTTATACAAGAGATACAAATGGGTATTTTTAGAGAGCACCTCATGTGGTAGAAGATAATTTGGGTAGTTTGTGAGAAGGAGAATTTGACCAGAAACATGACATAAAAGTGCCAGCAAAGCAAAAACCTTGAAGTAGTAGATTCTGGTGAGAAAAAAATAGCAAATGCATAAACCCCAAGGTGTGAAAACGAGCTGAGCACCTTCAGGGCACAGAAAGCGGACCATGTAGTTTTGATCCAGAGAGTAAGGAGGTGAAAAGTGAGAGAGATAATAAAGCAGGACAGGAAGAACTGTATCATAAAGACCATTGTGAAGGCTCTGGATTTTAAGTGTTAACAGAAGTATTGTAGGGTTTGTGCAATAAATACAATGCATGATCTCATTTTTTACAAAGTGGTGGTTGAGAGAGAATGGATTTTGGTGGTAGGAGAGATAGACTCTGGGAAATCAATTAGGAATCTATTGCCTTAGTCAAATTACAGATTATTGTGAGTTGCTGTGATTAGAGTGACATCATTGGCAATGAAAAGTGGTTGGGTTGAGGATGTTTTGGCTGCAGATGTGGCAGGATTTACTACTTTTAGAGCTATTTTTAGACTTACATTCTCACTTCCCTGCAGAAGTCATTCTTCAGTGGCATGGGATGTGTGTGTGTATCTTGGTGTGGTGATACTGTAGAAATGCAGCAGCAGGGCAACAACAATGGCTCAACTGCCCCTCATTCACTCTACTGCCCAGGCCCGTCCAGAAAGGGAAGACTAGGGCTGATACAGTCATGACCCTCAGGTTTGAGATGTGACAGCTGCAGAGTGACAGGTGGAGTAGATAGCAAAGTGCAGGAGCAGTTGGCAATGGTACCATACAGAGAAGACAGGAGACAGACTGCATCTTTCTCAGGTTTATAGAGGGATGTGGAATTTAGGGGATGGATGAGCCGAGGGATGAATGAGCTGTGCATAGCACACTTACCACTGAGTTGTCATTACCTTTGTCAAGCTGTTCACTAAATATGATCACCATGACAGGTAGAGGTAGGTTGAATTCACTTTTGTTTCCTAGTGCATGGCACAGAATCTGGCATCCAGTACCCATTAAGCTCCTGTTAAATGAATGGATGAATGAATGAATGAATAGTGGATGTGATTATGGAAAGGTATTTATTTGCAGACAGGCTTTCTTGTTTTCTACTATAAGCAAAGGTGGCAGTGACCTAAACTAGAGCCAGGAATCCTGCCTTTTCCTCCTTTTATCTTGATATTGCTCTATTTTTAAAAATTTTATTTACTTATTTATTTTTGGTACTGGGGATCAAACTCAGGACCTTGCACTTGGGAGGCAGTTGTGGCTCCACTGAGCTAAATCCCTGGCCCCTGATGCTGCTATATTTTCATCACTAAGAAATAGCTGAGCCTTCTCCAACAGTCCTCTTTTGCCTCTGGCCTTGCATGATGCAATTTGTATGGGGCAGAGAGAAATCGAGTACATTGGTACAAAATGTGAATACGCCCATTAACATTCTCCCAAAAAGTGTGGGGCTCCTTGGAATCAGCTTAGAGGTTTGGCTGGGGCCCCAGTCAGCACATTCTTGGAGATCTTGGAAAAGGGCAGGAGCAGAATATTTACAGCGATGAAGAAATGGCCTCATAAAAATGCATAAGGGTGCATGCGTAAGTGATGACTCGGATGAAAAAAGCTGTGTTTACATACTGTTACACTAAAAATATTCGCACCTCATCAAATTGTCAGTCTTGTTTGCTGGCAACAATGGGAATTTTCCCCCTGGAAGGCAGTAATAGCTCTCACCAGAGCACTGCACATTATGTCTCATTAATCCTTCCCAGATCCCAGCGAGGTGGGTGGTGAGGGTTAGGATTCCTGTTGTTTCAGAAGAAAATAGACTGAGAAAAATTCATTTCCCACTCTCTGCTTTCACTGTTTCATAGGATGATGATGTTTGAACTTGGACCACTGTGGTCCTTGGGACTCTGTCCTTCCAAAGGTCTTCCAATCTACTGCCCCGTGCATTTGAGGAAACAGAAGCTCAGAGGAGAGGGGTCAACCTGCCACAACCCTTCAGCTGCTCAGTGGAAAATCCAAGTCCAGCTCACTAATCTCTCACCAAAAGAAAAGCAGGATGGAAGAGAACACACGCTTCACATAGAAATACCTAAATGTCAAGTAGATGCCAAGATCTCTAGTAGGTTTAGGAATCACCATGACAATCTTTTAAAGACTGGCTTTGTTGTTATTATTAATTACAATTTCTGGATGAGAATTATTAAAATCAAGCATGAACTTTCCAGGATTCAAACCCGTTTATTTTATGCCAAAGCCAATGGGGCTACCTTAGTACCCTCCACTTAGTACCCACCGGTGAGGCTAACAGAGTGGAGGAGGCACTGTACTTCCTTCTTCATGTGGTCTGGCAGAGGAAAGATGAGTCTGGACATATACAGACCTGGATTCAGATGCTGGTCTCATCCTTGCTAGATTGGTGCCCCCGGATGAGTTAGGAAGCATATCAAAGCTCAGTTTTCTCATCTTACAGAAAAAAATAAATTTATTTAAATAAATAAATAATAAATGAAATATGGCCTGGTAGGATGGATATGAAAGTAAAATGAGAGAGAGACTAGAGAAAGTGACTGCTACACAGGACAATTCTATATCTATTTGTGCCCTCTAATCCTTCCCCCAATAGTAGCCTTGGATATTCTTTAATAATCCTCTTGGAGAACATTCCATACATTTCTATATTGTTCTGGCTTCCCCATCTGAGTGGACTTAGAGTGTCCAAGATGATTAACACCCTTCCTGTTGATTTTTTTTGTTTTATTAATTATCAGCTTGCATTTGCAGGGGTTACACTGTCAAGCTACATCTTAGAAGGTCATAGAGACGATTATTCAAGTTTCTTGGCAATAGGAATCACACAGTCAGCCCACTGACTGCTGAGTACATATTGAACATCTAAGATTGGGTAGGAAACTGGAAGGTAAGGCTTGGTGAGCTCAAAGGAGCAACAGGGAGAACTTCACTGTCTAGAAACTTTGTAATGTACCCTTTGTGATGCACCTTATGCCTTTGTGTCTGCTCTTCTTTTCTAGTGAAAAGGGAAAATAATTGTGAAAACTAAATGAGATAATACATACTGTATAATATACTTACTCAATACCTGGATCATAGAAGTGGTTTAGCTTTTACAGTTATTAATATCATTAGTCACATAGTTAGTGAAAGAAAATTCGTAAGTTAAAGATTTCCAGTGAAAAGTGTTCTGCAATGAATCCATTCACTATTCAACATCTTTAAAATAAATATTGAAAGCATATTAATTATAATTATATATGATACATACAGACTATATAACATTAATTATAAAACACCTATACATTATAGAGAATAACAGTAAAACAAACCACTATATGACACCATGAAATTTTCCTGAAATCCATCATATCCACACCCTCATCACAACCACAACTCTTTTTAGAGAAACCACAACTGTGGATTTTGTGTCAAAAATTTCCTTATTTATCTCTACATGATTTCTAAATATACATGATTTGATATATCATGTATGTTTTCATTTCTTAATAATAGTGTTAATTTTGCTTGCTCTTGGTATTTATTTTAATGGAATCTCATTTCTATCAGTCTTTTTATATTTGCTTTGTTCATCCCATGTTGTATTCTGTGAAGTATCTGTACTTTTCATACAGTTATAATTTATTCCCACATAAATATGCACAAATAGTGAACAGATATGGTGGAATTATGCATTCCATATTTCAGTTGGTTCCTTTATGATTTTTCCCTATTATCAGTTCATTTATCAATATTACTGTATAAACTCATGGTGTACTTGGGCAAAATTGTCATCAGGATAAATACATGGGAGTGAAACCAATGAATCTCCAGGTTTGAACATTTTCAACCTAAGCTAAAAAGGCCAATACCCTTGTTTTACAAAGCTGCTTTACCCATTTACAATCCCAGTAAATGTTCAGTGTTTAAGGGCAATGGTTATCTGACATCCTAGTCAGCACTTGATATTCTCAGTGTTTAATATTTGTCAACTTCTTGGATAAAAATTGTACCTCTTGGTGACTTGGGTTGGCATTTCTTTGATATTTTGTGAAAAGAAGACTATCGTTCAGTATATCTTGACCATTAAGGTTCTACTTTTATTGATTGACATGGCCCAATTTTTCTATTGATATTTGTCTTTAATTTATTGATTAATATAATCATATACAATGTAGATAGAAATTTCATCATTATACATTCCCAAACATCTTCTCTTGCTTTGTGGCTTGTCATTTTATTTTCTGCACCACTTTTGGGATGAACAGATGTTCTTAATATTACTAAGCATCATTCATTTCCTTATGATTTGGAATTCTATTTCTTGTTTAGAAACCCTTCCCATAGAGATGGCATAAAAATATTCTCTTATATTATATTCTGAAATCTTTAGAGTTTTGCTTTTCACATTTAAATACTTAGTCCACCTGGAACTGATTTTTGTATACTATGTGAGAAAAAAGTCAAATTTAATTTTTGTCTCATATGAATAACTAATTGCTCTAAGATCATTTATTGCATAGTTTATCTTTTGCCACTGATCTACAATGCTGGCTGTGATAGATCAAATATCTATGCATGTGTGAGCTTATGGTTTTTGCTTCCTTTTTCTTCTCATGTATTTATTTGTCTCTGCATATCCCAACACCAGCCTGTTTTAATTACCAGAACTCAGAAATAATGCATAATACTTTGAAAGATAAATTCTCATATTTTTAATCCTCAGGAGTGTATTTGTAACTTTTGAGCTTTGTTTTTTTATACAAAATATTTGGGTAAGCTTGTCAAGTTTCTTAAACAATAACCTGTTCAAATGTCTTTGAGTTACAATGATCTTATGGAATTGTAAAATAATTTGTACTGAAATGATTTAACTACTGAGTTTTCTTATCCATGAAAATCACATATATCACTGCTTAAGTTTTGTTCTTTAATGTATTTTCAGTGAAGTTTTATAATATTTTCAAAAGCCTCCTTCCCTATTACCTTTATGTCTAGGTATTTAATATATAATGTCATTATAAATTATTTCTCTTCTTAAATCTATTCTTTATTCATTTTTATATTAATTTGAATTTAAAAATCTGATTATGTAGCAAGTCTAATGATTAATCTGTAGATTTGCTGTTTCTTTCTGTGTGGACAATGGTATCATCTGTCCATAATGAGAGTTTGGTTCTTTCATTTTTTTGAAAATTATAACTTCTGTTCTTTTTCTTGATTTAGTATTCTACCTGGACTTCCAACAAGCCTGAATGAGTGAAATGATGATAAGCTTTATTTTCTCATTCCTGATCCCAGAGGCCTGATTTGAAGCCGGATTCCTTCAGAGAAGATTTGCTATACCAATCTGGGAATACTTTAATCCAAATTTTCAGTAGGGGTTTTCAGGCCACCCAGTTACTGAAATTTGGAACAACAACCCTAATTGGAGGCTAACTCATGGTTCAGATTTTTAGGTGATTTGCCCTTTTCTGTCCAGGTTAGAGGTTTGAGACAAGGTAGTACCCTGGAATCCCTTTGAGGGAGGTATGTTTGCCCTTGAGCCAATGCCACAGCTCCATGGGGCCCATCTTTAAACACGAAGAAATCTCCTATCAGACTCCTTCCTTGGAGAGGGTCTTGGGGTTTGTCTTCTTGTGAAATGGGGCTAAAGACCACTATGGCTCAGTGAAGACCAGCTGGGGAAGTTTGACTTCAGTGTGCTTCTTGATTTTCTGGAATAGCTTTTTGCACTTAGACTTTGATCTTTACATATTCTTTTTTCTTTGTCATTCCACTGATACACTTAAGAAAATATTTTTCTATATTGTATTTGACATTTTCAGTATTTCTCAGTATTAGAGTAACTTAATTATCATATTTCTTGAATCACAAGTCCTGAAGTATCATTACAGGAAAGTCCTACATATGTTGGGTATGCAGTGTTGCATGAGGATACAACACTCTTGTCCTTACTGTATTCACCTTAAATTGGCAGCTGAGTTTATGAATAGGGCTTTGCAATGCAGGATCCATGAGAAGGGTGCTAGGTAGAGTAAGACATTCAGGCAAGCAGAGACCGTTGGAGAATCCCTGAGGTGTGAGAAAAAGTCTGGAAATTAGGGGATCTCTGTGTTGCCTACACATGGACTGGCTGATCTTCATGTCTGTTCTGGAGTTCAGAGAAGCAGAGCTCACTGTTAAAACATAAAGACATGATCCTCACCAAGATTAATTGATTTATTCATGGTGTCATGAGTAGTAAACTAAAAATCTGGCCTATTGACTCTAAGTTCAGTGCTTTTCCCACTTTCAACCTGTTGAAGCTTGAAAGACAAAGTACTGAGTTCTTACCGATATATTATCAGAGTCCCCAGTCCAGTGCTTTGATAATAGAAGGCACATGATTGGTAGTTATCCTTCATCCCCAAGATGTTTTATTGGGAAAAATTTACTTATAGATTCTCCAAATAATTTTACTTTCTCATTTGCCTCTGGTAAGAAAAATGATCAGAGAAAGAGACACTCTGGACAGACAAGCCCTATTATAGCTGAGAGTGATCTTCAGCCAGGGCTGCTAAATGGTAAACAAGAAGGCAGAAGCTGCTAGGATTGCATCAGAGTTTCCACACTGTGGGATGCTGAACTTTCCCACTTCACTGGTACCAATATTTGCTTTTCTGTTCTTTCTTTCTCTGTGTTGGAACTGGTTTGTATGCCTTGGTATTTGGAATTTAACCAAAACTGTAATGTCTGCCTCTCTGGATGAGGCCAGTTGCTTTCTGTGATTTATTGAGACTTGGTATGTTGACTTATCTGCGCTTAATCAATGTCTAAAGATGGCCATATGCACAAGTAACTCTAGAATCTACATACACAAGGATCCCAGGAAAAAGCAATTTGGTGAGAAGGCAAAGGTAGGAAATATTTGTTCAGTAGTGTTCTCAGTCAAGCCCCAGCATGAGCCCACATTACTTGGCCCCTATTTGTGTTACTTTTCTCATGTGAAAATAAGGGTACAGCAGTACTCCATAGTACTCTTGTGAGAATGAAATGAATCAATGAGTGCAAAAATTTTCAAAAGCACTCATTATGAAGCAAGTGCTCAGTACAAGCAGACTACAGTATCAATACCAGTAATGTTAACTGTCAGATTGCTTACTTGGAGTAATATTAATCAATGATGACATTATTACTCTGGAGGAAGGCTACATA